CACGGGGGTGCCTCCAGCGCTCGCTGGCGCGCTTGGACTTGGCCCCTGCGGCCCGCTACGGCCGCGCACGAAAGGCCACTCGTGCCTGCAGCCGAGATGCACACACGAGAAGTTCTCTTGCCATGGGAGGGAATACAGTAAGGGCCCGACCACAAGAAACCTGGGACCCCATGACGTCCATCGGTTTTTGGTATGGGAGCGTCACGCTTCCCATGGCAAGGCCCTCGAAACCCGAGAAACCCAGGGCACCCTGGAGGCAACCTGGGTGTTTCACCGGGGTGTTTCTTGGCATGGGCCCCCACTGTATTGGGGCACGTCCTTCGTCGAGCTTCGTGGGTGGCTCCGAAGGTGCGCCACGGCTGGTGCGGGGCGCCTGGGGCCATCGGGGGATGAGGCATTTCCGCGGGGCGCCTGCTGGCAGGCCGATTTCTTGTCTGGTGCACTTGTTGTACGCCCGGTCTTGCGCGCAGCGCAGCCGACCCCTCCGATCCAGGGGCGAGTTGCGGCAGCCCGCTCTCCCGGCTTCGGCCTGCTCTCCTCGCTCTCTGGCCCTGCTCCTGCTCCTGCCCCTCGTCGTCGTTGTTCTCCTGCTACTCATGCTCCTCTTCCTCCTCCTCCCCCTCCTCCTCATCACCACCATCATCATCACCACCACCATCATCATCATCATCATCATCATCATCATCATCAGCAGCAGCAGCAGCAGCATCAGCATCAGCATCAGCATCAGCATCAACAACAGCGTCCCCATCATCCAACAGGAACATGCGACCAGCAGGCGTGCGGATCATCATCACCATCATCACCATCATGATCATCATCATCATCGTCATCATCATCATCATCATCATCATCATCATCATCTGCATCATCATCATCGTCATGGTCATCGTTATCGTCATCATTACCATCACCATCAGCAGCATCAGCATGGTCGTCATGGTCACCGTCATTGCATCATCACCACCATCAGCATCAGCATCAGCATCATCATTACCAACATCAGCATCAGCATCAGCATCAGCATCAGCATCAGCATCAGCATCAGCATCACCACCATCGTCAGCATCATCATCCTCTCACTCATCATAACCATCATATGCATCATCGGCACCATCATCATCGTCATCATCATCATCAGCATCATCATCATCAAAACCATCATCATCATCATCAGCTTCATCATCATCATCGTCATGGCCATCGTTATCGTCATCATTATCATCACCATCAGCAGCATCAGCATGGTCGTCATGGTCACCGTCATTGCATCATCACCACCATCAGCATCAGCATCAGCATCATCATTACCAGCATCAGCATCAGCATCATCATCATCATCATCATCATCATCATCATCATCAGCGTCATGGTCATCGTTATCGTCATCATTATCATCACCATCAGCAGCATCAGCATGGTCGTCGTGGTCACCGTCATTGCATCATCACCACCATCAGCATCAGCATCAGCATCATCATTACCAGCATCAGCATCAGCATCAGCATCAGCATCAGCATCAGCATCAGCATCACCACCATCGTCAGCATCATCATCCTCTCACTCATCATAACCATCATATGCATCATCGGCACCATCATCATCGTCATCATCATCTGCATCATCAGCATCATCATCACCATCATCATCATCATCATCATCAGCTTCATCATCATCATCATCACCATCATCATCATATTCATCGTCACCATCATCATCATCATCATCATCTGCAGCATCATCATCGTCATCATCATCAGCGTTATTATCGTTAGCATCGGCGTCGCCGCAATCATCATCAGAAGCATCATCACACTTATAATCATCATCACCATCAGCAGCAACATCACCATCACCACCACCATCAGCAGCATCATCAGCATCTGCATCATCTGCAGCATCAGCATGCCAGCATCACATCGCCATCTTTATCATCATCACAATCCCACGATTTTAGTACCATCAGCATCAAGACCAACATCAGCATCGTCACCGTTCTCGTTAGCGTTATTGTCATCGTCACGCGCGCCCGCTTAGCCAGGTTAGCTCTACAAGTAAAGCGCGGCACGAAGGAGGCGGCGTCCTTTAAAGCGACCGTCTTGGCGCTATAAAAAAGCAGCGACAGGAGCCTCGATGTAGATGTCACGACATGCCACGGGAATGGCGCGGCGGCTGCCGTCGTGTGTGCCAACTCTTCCTGCTCTTTTTTGACGCTGCGCGAACTCGAGCCGATGTGATGTAGCGTTTTGTGGGGCGAGAAAATTACTTGCCGACTTAGGCATAGCCCGACACATTGAGCGTGGTCAGCGCAGCAGAAAACAGGACAGTGCCTGAGAGACAAGAGTCAATAATGTAGTCCCAACGGCGGAAGTAGGCGCTGGCAACGCGGTGCAGGTGGGATTGGGGAAGACCGAACGAAGAAGAGGAACCGAAGATTTTCGTAAAGTAATCATGGAGGAACCGGATAGGGGAACCGACTGCGCTGAGTACTTAGTGTTGGCTTGCATAGCGATCAGCTTATGCTCCCATGGGTCTAAGCGACAGGGAGATGGTTGGCAGCTGTAAACCTGATACTTTGTGACAGGTTAGATACTTTCTCAATAGGTCAAGATGTTCTGTGAAACTGTAGGTGTGCAGCTAGGTGCCGGTAGAACAGAAAAGAGCTAGCAATGGACGCAGATACAGTCGTAGGGTGACTGTATGCAACTTGTGAGGTAACTGAATTGTGAGGTGGGGGAGTGCATCTGGCACTCTGCGGTCCACAGCAGGGCGGACGCCCTCCGCCGGAGGGCAAAATGGCCATAGATGTAAGAAGCGTTCCGTTCCCCCTTCCCCACCCGCGAAGATCTTCCTGCTCGTCCTCCTGCTCCTCATCTTCCTCCTCATCTCTTCGGCTCCTCGTCATCCTCCTCCTCCTCCTGACGGGACTCTTCCGCACACTGTGCTTGCTCCAGCCCTGCTCCTGATAAATAACTCCCTGTCGCGCCCCAAGGTGTGTTGGTAGTGCAGGCCGGGCGTTTCGCCGGAGATGTCTTCGCCAGCGGCGAGCTTGATGTTCGCAGTAGCTGCACGGATGGCGGGCGTGCCGTTCTCAACGTGTGGTTCTCGCCTTGGCGCCTCGCGCCTTCGTCGCAAGAGTGAGCAACATCTTCACGGATGGAGGGCGGACCATTTTCAAAATGTGGCAATCGCTTGAGCGCCGCATGCACTCGTCGTAAAAGTCTGCAGCAGTTTCGCGGATGGGAGGCGGCTTATTTTCAAAACGTGGCCCTCGCTTTCGCGCAGCGCTCATTCGCCTTTTAATAAAAATGCAGCAGTTTCAAGGGTTCGTATGGTCGAAAGACCAGGAATGCTGCTCTGGACGATTAAGGATTGTCAGGTTGCAACAGTCGCGCCGATTCGCTGTTTCGCAGTTCCAGGAATGGTGCTCTGGTGCGATTAAGAATTGTCAAGGCGCAAGAGTCGTGTTGAGTCGCGGAGATGAAGTCCCAGGAATGATTTTTTTGACTGTCTTCCAGAGGGGCATTTTGCCGACGTGGAAATCCATTATTGCAGGGACCTATGGAGAAGGAATTTCGAGGGAGCGCTTATTACAGCATCGTTGACGCGTCTTGGGTTTGCACTGCTCGTCGTCCTCCTCCGTTTCCTTCTCCCCTCCTCTTCGCTTCCTTGCCGCCGCCGCGGCCTCCGCGCCAGGCCCCCCTGGGCGCCCCCGCCCACGGGATGCCCGCGCAGCGGCGGCGCTTCGCCCACAGGCGCACGGCGGCGGAGGTGGCCCCCCCCCCGGTTCGAAACGCGCCGCTGAATGTTCCCAAGGCAAGCGCCCTTGAAACGCGTTCTCTCGGATATGGTGAACAAGGGCCCCATCCTTAGGAGATGGGATATGGGGAAACATCGGGGGATCGATGGTTGCAGGGAAGTGGTCCTAAAGAATCCATAAGCGGCCCCCAAGCTGCCACCGCAGGTCCAAAATTATCTTGGCGAAGGACCCAACCTTCTGCAGTTGTGGGTACCGCAGTTGTGAATATCTTCTTCTGTGAAGCTCCCCATGGGGCCACGAAGCGCTGCACTGCGTGGGGGGGAACGCATGCGGGCTGTAGCACTGGGGCCGTCGGTGGAGCTCCCTATGGGGCCACGAAGCGCTGTACTGGGTGGGTGACACACCAGACACACACACACACAACAACAACAACAACAACAACAACAATCATTTAAGACTGGGGACACTCCGTTCTCACCAGTGCCAGGGTTTTCATAGGAGGCGGGCAATACCCCCACTTTGTGGGGGGGCCGGTTCAAGCTCTACCAAATTTCCAAACGACTCTTCGCCACCACCCACACCCAGCTTCCCGCCCTATGACGTTCGGACACTTCACTTCGTGGCATGCGGACGACCGTGGCTACTATTCAGGGCCCCGCGGCCGACGACGACGGCGTGCGCGCGCGAAGAAAAAACGAATGTGTCCCGCATGGTATTATTTGACAGGGATGATGGCCCTGGCAGGTGCGCAACCGTTGTCGCAGAAGTTCGAAAAAGTTGCTCGCAAAAGCCCGTTTGACAGAAATGTTTAAAAAGTGTTGGGTTTCCTACGAATCCGCAAGAGCGCGCGGGATGAGATTTTGACATTTTTTTGTTGAAAAACCATTGGTTTTTTGATGTTTTTATGTTAAAATCGCTCCGAACACTAAGCTTTTGGAAGGATTTCGTCTTGCGCGCGCGAATGTCCACTTTACCTTATTTTTTGCAAGGGATTCTTGAAATTTGATTATATTAGAACAAGAAATGTCATTTTATAGTGTTTTTTGCAAGGGAAAGCGGGGGGGAACAAAACAACCGGATCTTGATCACATCGAATTACCTGAGGCTTCCTCACGAAAATGATGAAAATGTAGCTGCGGCCTAGGCGGCGCAGGGGGGCCGTGCACCAGGGGTCCCAACAATAATTATTCTTTAGAATTAATAATGTTCAACAACAACAACAACAACAACAACAACAGGGTCGGCGGATTTCCCTCCACGTGAGGGGTCCGGGACCACCCCCACCACCTGGCGGCACCAGCAGCTGGTCTCGAGAAAACAAACAACGCGAACATCCGATGGGTCCTCGATTGATCGGCCCCCCCTTGTCTGGGATCGCTCACACTCCAGTGTTGGCGGCGCGCACAAGGGGCTGGCGCAAAGGGTGGGAGGCCTTCAAAAAATGCTGGGGGCTGCTGAAAAGGCAGGTGGCTTCTTAGAAAGCCCCACAGGCTTCTAAGTAGGCTTTTGCCTGCAGGGCATTTTCTGAGAAGGCCCCGCCTTCTAAGATGCCGACCGCTTTCTTACCCCCCGCCAAGTCTGCTAAGGGGATCAAAGGGGTTACACGTGGATGCGAATGTGGGCTATAGTTGGCCGAACCTCATTTATCGATGACGCCTACGGCGGATCACCGCCGCCCCCCACCTTTTTGGAAGCGCCTCTGTGGCTGAAAGTTGGGAGCTATCGGACCATATGTTCCGGGGAACACGTGAGGAAGAGAATAATGATGAGGAAAACGAGAAGGGAAGAGGAGGAGGATGAGGAGGAGGAGGAGGAGAAGGAGGAGGAGGAGGAGGACGCCTCTTGGAAGCCTCTTGGAGCACTCATGGGGTCTCCTGGGAGACTCCTGGGGGCCTCTTGGAGGCCTCTTGGGGGTCTCCTTGGGCCTCTTGCTGGCCTTTAGGGGCTTCTTCCGAGCCTCTTTTGCCGTCTTAGGGCGTTCCTGGTCTGCCGTTGTCGGAAGCCGTCTTGGGGGCCTCTCTCAACCGATTTGGCACCTTTTTGGGGCGCCTCAGGGCCTTCCTGGAGGCCATCTTCGGCGTCTTTGAGCTCTCTTTAGCACACTTTGGCCCTCTTGGGGCCGTCTGGTGGGCCCGTTGGGCCCTTTGAAGCCATCTTGGCCAACAAGATGCAAATACCAACACCTATCAAACACCAAAGGAACGTCAACGGTGTGTGCTTCCGTAGGCCTTCCTGGATACCCTTCTGGGAGCCTCTGGGACGTCTTGGAGGCCTCTTGGGGGCCTCTTGGGCCATCTTGAAGCCGGTTTGGGCCGTTTTGGTGGCTTCGTGAGCGGACTTGGGAGCATCTTGGACCCTCGTGCCCCGTCTTGGAGGCCATGTTGGGCGAATTTGGAGGCCATCTTGGACCATTTTGGCCGTCTTGGAGGCCCTCTGGGGTTTGTAGCCACTTGGGCCCAAGCGCGCGAACACTCTTACGTTGTACATTCTCTGCTCCCGAAGCAGGGCTTCTTACGTTACTGATATACTCGCATGGTTGTTTTGCAGGCCGTGCCCTTCCTATGACTGTCACTGGTGGTGCTCCCGCCTGTCCGTGGACTTTCCGCAGTCTGTCTGTCCCAGACGGAACCAACAGACAGCAAGTATAATGATTCAGATGAATCCATGGGGCAAGAAACTGAAATGGACGAGTCATTCGATAGTCAAGCACGTCTCCCTCCGAAGGCGAACTGCACCGAGGAAAGCTGGGCGATTCCAAAGCGTGAGGTGTCTCGCAGAAAATATGTCAATTTCTCGCAGAAGCCGTGGATCGTGTTCAGAGGGGCAACATTTCGCACCTCGGCCGAGGCGCAAGAGGTGGCGCTCTGCTCGAGAAGGCGCCACGTGGTGGCACCCCTGAAGAAGGCGTACGCCCTCAACTTGGTGCACGTGCACCTCTGTGTTCGCCCCCACGGGGCGAACCGTCTACTCGTGGAGAGCGCTGAGAAGCATTTCGGGATCGCGAGTGGCGACGTCAGCCTTCGGGAGCTGAACAAGGCAGAGCAGCCCCTGCAGCAGGGCCAGCACATGGCCTGCCTGGCTGATGTGCCCAACGATGCCGGGTTCGCGCTCATCCTGCGGCCGGACTTGGTCTTTAAGAAGAGTTTGAGCTTTGATCGTGTTGCGTCCCCCGACATGTTTTATTTCCAGTGGAACTTGTTCCACCATTGCGTGAATCGGGAAATCGCCGATCAGATTCATCTAGTGGGAGGCAGCTTGATCCTCGAGTTCAAAGAGAAGTGGGACAGCGAGCAGATGGGGGCAGCCAAAGCTGGGCAGCCATACTGGGATACTTCCACATGATGTTCACGTGGGCCGTCGAAGCCTTCGGACAGGAGCGCGTGGGATATCTAATGGACCATCCCGCCACGAATTGTTTCTATCGGGGCAGAGGCGGTTTTCGGCGATGGCACCAATACGGCTTCTGCAAGCAGCGTGGGAACCCCGGGGTGCTTCACCACGGCAACGTCACGAACCCGCTGTTCACCTACGACCGCTTGATCAGTGCTGACGGCGAGGCGTCGTGCAAATCGGACTAGACTGCGGGGCCCAGGCGCGTGGGCGAAGCGATCGCGCAGGTCATCGGGGATCCTGTGAGGCCTGGGCTGTTTTGTGCGAGTATAGCGCTGTTTCTGCCGCCGTGGTGGTGGGCGGCAGCCCACGCCAGGGCGTGTTGCCCCAACTTCCCCTTGTGGTTGCCTTTGCCCTAGGTCTTTCTCGCAAATTGTGGACCCCTCGCGTACCCCCACCGCCACGCCTCGGCATCAGCCAACGTCCTTCGGCTGTTCACTGCACCCCAACCCCCGTTTCACAAGGTTGTGTCTTCTCCCTGCACTCTGCGGCCGCCAGCTTCACCCCCGCTGGTCATCGGCCCGCCCCGGGTCCAACATGTCTCACGCGAGGGCTGCCTTCCCCACCCTCTTGCAGCTATCTGCTGCCCCCGACCAGAGAATCATTGCGATCCTTTGCAACCACGCAGGCTCCTCGGCAGCGCCTCCCAATTCCCCCCTGGGCTGGTGCCCTCTGGGCCCCGCCTCGGCCGCCATCTCCCCCGGCCGTCTGCCCCCCCCCCACGGGCTGGGCTGCCTGTCTCTCTGGCCACCCCCCCCGCTTCTGGCCGCGGGCGGCATTCGGCGACCCCCCCGCTTGCCGCTCCCAGGCAGATTTCCTGCATGTCTCAGGCGGGAACACCTTCCCACTTCTCCAGCGGCTGTGAGCTGCACCCTGCCGGAGAGCTGGGCGCTCTCTTTGCGGTGCCCGCGCGAAGCCTGAGGACTTCCAGGCTGATCTCCTGCATGTCTCAGGCGGAAGCATCTTCCCACATTCTTGCGGCAGCGAGTTGCACCCTACCAGAGCCCTGGGCGTCCTCATGCGGTGCCAGCCCGAAGCATGCGGACTTCTTTGTCGAAGTTTGAGCTTCTTCCCACATTCCGTGGCTAGCCACAGGGCATCAGTATGTCTCAGGCGAAGATAACCTATTCCTCCTTTCTGCGGCTGTTAGCTGCACTCTTCCAGAGGACCAGGACGTCTCAGGCGAAGCAATCCCCCACCTCACTGCGGCTGTCAGCTGCACTCCGGCGGTGCATCAGGATGTCTCAGGCTTAACCTTGTCCCATCGCTCTGCGGCTGTTAGCTGCACTTCAGCAGGGCATCGACGCGTCTCTGGCGGGACCACTACCCAGCATCCTGCAGCTGTTGGCTGCCACTTCACCCCGCTCTTGGTCGTGGACGGCATTCGGCTACCCCCCTGTTTGCCGCTTCCAGGCCGACCCAGGTGAACGCATCTTTTCCCACATTCCTGCGGCTGTTAGCTGCACCCTACCAGAGCGCCGGGCAGTCTCATGCGGTGCAATCGCGAGCTTCTCCCCGCTTCCCGCGGCTGTTAGCTGCACCCCGCCCAGTGGGCTGCAGGCTTCAGGCGACGCAATCCCCCATCGCCCTGAGTCTGCCAGCCCGGCGGGCCCGGGCTGGTCACCCGAACCGTCTTGGCAGGCGCGGCCTATGCCCCCCGGGCCGCGCCAGTTACCCGTTCCCCGCCCGGCTGGCCGGGGCTGTTCCTCGTCGGCACTGGCTTGTGCATTCACCTTCGCCCCTCGGTGCTTTTCGAGTCCAGGCAACTGTCCGCTGCCTCTTCGGTCGGGTTCCCTCCCTCTTGCTCCCCCCGGAATTCGGGGAATGTGACCGCCTTGCTCGTCGACTGCGCTGGCCCTGGAGATGGCCTGATGGACTGTTGGCTGCAAGTGCCCATACGCTACCGCCCTCGCTGCTGGTGGTCAACTCCGTGGCCCCCTCGTGTCTGAGTGCCTTGGTTCGGGCACGTTGGGATTTATTACAAGTGCAGGCAGTTCGGCAAGGTGCGGTCGTCTACTACTTGGTCTGAGTTCGAGCTGCGGCTTAGCATTTTGTCTTTCTGTCTTGTCTTCCTCTCTCTCTGCTCCGCTGCCGCTGCCGCTTCTTCTGTTCGTCGTCCGCCCCTGTCTCGCCTAGCTCTCTACCAGTGTGTCTCTTGTTTGTTTTCTCCTCCGCCGCGTAGTTATCGCCACCGTTGTGGCCCTTTTTCCGCTTGTCGCCTGTTAGGCTCGGTTTACGAGTTCCCGACGGTGCGCGGCTGGTTCCGCGACACCCGCGATCAAAAAGTATCCCCACCAGCCCATGAAGAAACGATGCTCAGGGGAGTTGGGGTGATCCGGGAAGCGGGGGGGCATGTAGAAAATCAAAGGACAGGGGAAACCGTCATACAATATACACCAAGAGAAGGAGGAAGAAGACTCGTCGCGATGGGAGGAGGAGGAGGAGGAGGAGGAGGAGGAGGAGGAGGAGGAGGAGGAGGAGGAGGAGGAGGAGGAGGGGAGGAGCAGGACCGGGAACCAGACCAGGACCAGGACCAGGACCAGGACCAGGACCAGGACCAGGACCAGGACCAGGACCAGGACCAGGACCAGGACCAGGACCAGGACCAGGACCAGGACCAGGACCAGGACCAGGACCAGGACCAGGACCAGGGGCAGGACCAGGACCAGGACCAGGACCAGGACCAGGACCAGGACCAGGGGCAGGAGCAGGAGCAGGGGCAGGAACAGGAGTAGGAGCAGGAGCAGGAGCAGGGGCAGGAGCAGGAGCAGGAGCAGGAGCAGGAGCAGGAGGAGCAGGAGCAGGAGCAGGAGCAGGAGCAGGAGCAGGAGCAGGAGCAGGAGGCAGGAG